CCACACTCTCGGGGCTTCTCCAGTCTCCGTCAGGCCAGTAAGTCTGGTCTTTTCTTTTTTTTTTTGTGAGTTAGAATTTTTTTCTACAATTTTCTCCAGCTCTGTCCAGGACCCTCTATTGTGATCCCCGTCAGAGCATTCTGGAGTGGTAGCTGGGCACCATCTAGTTGTGCTGGACTCATTCTGGTGGAGGCTGTGGTACTTGTGGTCCGTTAGTCCTTCGGACTAATCTTTTCCCCAGGAGACTTTTGGCAATGTCGGGAGATGTTTTTGGTTGTCACAGTTCGGGGGGTGGTGTGGGTGGGTGCTACTGGCATCTAGTGAGCAGAGGCTATAGGGAGGCTCCTAAACATCTTACAATGCACAGGACATCCCCTTAGAACAAAAAATAATCTGGCCCCAAATGTCAATAGCGTGAGGCTGAAAAACCCTGCTCTAAAACTGAACCACTTTCTTCCACACCTTCCCTGACTCTTGCTGCTTTACAATCTTAATCTCTTGCTTAATCTCCCATGATTAGATAAGACAGACTCTGAATCTGAATCCCACGATTAAGAAAAGACAGACTGTGAATCTGAAGACGCTCCTCAGGCTGTCTCTGGTGACCCAGTCATCTGCCACATCCTGATAATATCACTTACTCATGTCTGGCCTGAGCCTCACTGACCTCTGTTGGCAGGACACGGGGCAAGGCCTTCAGCAGTGGCTTTCCTTGTAGGAATTCTGCCAGGGGCATTTTGTGGCCAGGTCCCCCACCTATATGTTCACAGGGAGCCTGACTCTTCCCTGCCATGTGTGCCGTCCTGCTGCCCCGGTCTGTTTCAATGCCCACTTCAGTGTTCCCATGCTCCCCTTTGGAGCAGCACTTTCCTCACCGCACTGCCATCCTGTGAGTGGTGGCGGGGCACAGGCAGTGCCCAGGTCCCATACTCCACCCTTCCCCACTCAACAACAAAAAAAACCAACCCGTTGTCGTCCTCATAGTGACCCTATAGGACAGAGTAGAACTGCCCCCATAGGGTTTCCAAGGAGCAGCCAGTGGATTCAAACTGTCAACCTTTTGGTTAGCAGCCAACTTCTTAACTACTACACCACCAGGGCTCCCCTTCATCACTAAGATCCCAGCAGCCAAAGGGGTCCTCTTAACCCAGGGGTTGGCAGACCTTTTCTGTAAAGAGTCAGAGAGTAAATATTTTTCACTTTGTGGGTCATAAAGTCTGTGACCTAGGTATCAACTCTGGCTTATAGAGCAAAAACAGTCACAGACAATACTTAAACCAATGGGCGTGACTGTGTTTTCCTAAACGTTCGCATAAAAAAACAGGCAGCAGGCCGAGGGTAGTGTGCTGACTCCTCATTTGCTGTTTAAAAGTGTAAAGGAAGAGTAAATGAAATTACCCCTGAATGTAGTTCCAGATCTTGTGCCTGATGTCCTTTGGGCAGGATTGCACTTATCCCATTTCATCAATTCCATTCGATTCAACCTACTAGGAGCCACCACGTGACACTTGGCTGTATAGTATTTCACTTTTTCTCTTCAAAGTTCCCTGGGAGATGATACCAAACATCTGAGAAGGAGCATTAAACCTAACCCCCCCACCCCCCTTGCTGTCCAGTGGATTATAGCTCATACTGACCCAGAGTAAAACTGCCCTATAGGATTTCCAAGGTTGAAATCTTTAGAAAGCAGACTGCCACAACTTTCCGCCTCGGGGGTTTGCTGGTTTCTAACCACCAACCTTTCAGTTAGCAGCTGAGGGCTTTAACAACTGGGTTAAGAGCATGGGATTCTAGAATAGGACTGGGTTCAAGTTCTGGCTGTGCCACTTAAGAGATATGTGACCTTTGGAAAATTAATTTAACTATTTTGAGTCTCAGTTGGGGTCCCCGGGTGGTGCAAATGATTAACTTGCTTGGCTGCTGTCCAAAAGGTTGGAGATGTAAGTCCACCCGAGACAAGCCTGGCAATCTACTTCTGAAAAAATCAGCCATTGAAAATCCTGTGGCACACGGCTCTGCTCTGGCACACATGGGGTCGTCTTGAGTCGGAAGCGACTGGAAGACTGGCTACTGGTTTGCTTTTTTGGTTTGGTGTCTCAGTTGCCCTATTTGTAAAGCGGGAGAGACAGTCTTTAAAAAGATTAGTGCTTACCTATCAAAGGGTTGTTATGGGGATTAAATGGGTCTGCACTTTAAAAGGATTAGGGGATCTCTAAAGATTCCAAAGATTCCAAAGCCTGGGCCACACCCAGACCAACTACATTACAACAATCTCAGGGTAAGACGGAGGCATCAATATTTTCGAGGCTTCCCAGGTGGTTCCAACGTGCGGACAAGTTTGGAAAACAGTGGGTTAAAGTGCTCCGCGCGTGGGTTTTGTTCCTTCGGTGGATAGTAGTGGAATTTCTGTCCCTCCTGCCCCGCGAACACCAAGAACCGCGGTCCTCAACTCCCGCGCATCCGCCCGTACCGCCGCCAGCGGGCGGCCGCAAGCAGAAGCCCGGATCTGTGCACGCTGGGACTTGTGGTCCCTCCGGCTTGCCGGCCTCGTCGCAGCCTTCCATTCGCTTTCGCAGGCGCCCCGCCCCGAGGTTTCACCAATCATCGCGGCGCAGTGGGCCCTCAAAGCGGCGAGCGGAGGCGCCCCGCCGCAATCACAGCAGACGGACACCGGGCGTGTTGTTCTGAGGCTGCGCGACTAAGGAGTTCTCACGGTCCCGCTGCCGCTGTTGTCTCCGGGCGCAGGTAACTGCTGGTGGCAGCCGGGGCCCGGCTGGGCTGCGCGGAGGCCAAGGGCCGCCGTCTGCCGCGGCTCCTGGCCTCACGGCGGGATTTTCAATTACCCCCGCCCTTTCTGAGTAATGCATTTCTCACCCGGTGATGGGGGAATTTCTGGAAACGATGAATCCCGAGGGAGTCTTCGCCACCTCCCAGCCTGTCTCCCCGTGGGAGTGGTCGTGGGGGGTGGCCGGGCGCCCTTTTGTCGCGCGTGCTCGGGCTGGAGGCCCAGGCTCCTCGTCTAAGCAGGGGGGGAAACTCAGGCGCGACCCGAGAGCGAACTTGCCCAGGTCCGAAAGCCCGAGAGTTCCCGGCGGGGGCCGGGGCTTGGGCAGCGTTCCGACCTTTACAATCTAGGGACAGTTCAGACGTTTGGTGAGAGTTGAGGTTTTAACCACATGGGTTATTCCATACCTATTTATAGTACTTAAGAATCCAAGAATTGTAGAATCGAGGTTGGAAGGAAACTTGAGTCACGTCCTTTATTTTACAGATGCGCTTGAGTGCCCAGACTTTAAGAGACTCGCCCTGTGGTGTGTAGTTCTTTACTATACGGCTTCATTAGTCAGTAGACATTTGAGCTTTACTAAGCTTCTTTAGCAGGGAATGTTTCGTAAAGGGAGGGAGGACCCAAAACCAAAACCCATTGCCATCGAGTCGATTCCGACTCAGCGACCCTGAAGACAGAGTAGAACTTCCCCATGGAGTTTCCAAAGCTGTAAATCTTTGTGAAAGCACACTGCCACGTTATTCTCCCGAAGACCGGCTGGAGGGTTCCAAACGCTGACCTTTCGGTCAGCAGCCCAGCGCTTTAACCACTCCACCACCAGGGCTCCTTGTAAAGGAGGACACGGGCCAGTTCCAGTGTTACAGGGGCGGCATCTAACACCGACTTGTGGGAGGAGGTAGGAGCCCTTCCAGAGGAGAGGATGCTTAGGTGGAGTTTGAGGAATGCACAGGACTTAGTGAGATGGAGGAGAGGCATTTCACCTGGAGGACATAGCCTGGCCCAGGGTGGAAAGAGCAACCCTTTTTTTGGCCCTCAAGTAGTGGCACTTGGTTAGAGCAAGGGGTTTCTTGCAAGTGGTGGTTTCATGAGCCAGGAGAATAGAGAAGTAAGCAGGGCTACATCTTTTAGGGCTTCCTATGCTGCTGCAGAGCCCTGGTGGCGCAGTGGTTAAGAGCTCGGCTGCTAACCAAAAGGTCAGCCGTTCAAATCCACCAGCTGCTCCTTGGAAACCCTATAGGGCAGTTCTTTTCTGTCTGTAGGGTCGCTATGAGTTGGAATAGTCTTGACAGCAGTGGGTGGGTATCTTAGGTAATATGCAAAAGTATTGGAGAGAGGCCACACTAGAGATAAGGAGGTCATTACAGTATTCTCTGGAAGAGTTGCTGAGGGCTTTTAAGACAGTTGCAGTGGGAAGGAAGAGAACAGGAGAGAAGATTGGAGAGCTGTTAAGGAGGTAGATTATACCATACCTAGTGTATGGTGAGGAGCCCTGGTGGTGCAGTGGTTAAAGCACTCAGCTACTAACGAAAGGGTCAGCAGTTTGAACCTACCAGCCGCTCTGTGGGAGAAAGATGTGGCAGTCTGCTTCCGGAGATTATAGCCTTGGAAATCCTGAGAGTCACAGTCAACTGGAGGGCAGTGGGGTTAGTGTCTGGTACTTAGTATTGTTCAGTAAAAATATGTTGAAATGAACTCAGTCTCTTGAGTTTTGCAGCTTTGAAGAAACGCTCAGCTCTTTTGTTTTTTTAAAGAAACTGCAGAAATTGATTTGTAGACCATAATTTGAGTCCCAGTTTATGATGGGGAAGTTGTCGCATGCACTGAGGGTGTTGAAATTTGAATGGTTAAATACACATATGATGAGACTCAAATTTTCTTAAAATCTAGGAAATTAAAACCATTGCAAGATCGCTTTATATCCATCAGATTAGGAATTTTAAAGTTTGTTATTTTCAAGAGATGTTAAGTATTTGAGGAAATAGATTTTCATTCACTACTGGTGGAAAGGAGCCCTGGTGGCGCAGTGGTTAAGAGGTCGGCCGCTAACCAAAAGATGGGTAATTTGAATCCACCGGCCACTCTTCAAAACCCCATAGGGCAGTTCTGCTCTGTCCTATGGGGTTGCTATGAGTCAGAACCGACTTAATAGGACCTAACAACCATCGGTGGAAATGTACCTTAATACAGCCATTGGTGAAGTGTGGATATCTTAAGACCCAGTGGTTCCACGTATAGAAAATACGCTAGAGAAATAGACATTTGTTCACATGGAGAAGAACGAAAGGATGTTTATTGCAACATTGTTCGTAATGGTAACAAGAATAATAACAGTAATGGAAACACCCTAAGTGTCCATTAGCAGGGAGTGCTAATAGATAGAATATGTTTTTAAATGTATAATAAATTGAAGGAAATACTAATTTAGGATAATGGTTACCTTGTGGTCTCGGGGAGAATGGACTGGAGATGAGGGAAGTTTTCATTGTAATGTGTTTTATGGGGAAAAAAGACAACAGATTTACAAAATATTAATCGTTGATAGTCTGGGTGATAGGTAAGATGTTTTATATTATTCTTTGTACGTTTCTGTAGTTTAATATCTACCCTTCATGTTCTCAAAATAAAAATTATAACAAAAGTTAAGAATTCAAACCTAGCTATCAAAGTCATGTTCAGTCATTTTGGAAAAAGCTACATTGATGTTAGCTTTCAGAAATAGTAATTTGGTCAAAAAAATCCAAATGCAAGTAAGCATTGAAAACAAAAATGTGGAAAAACCAGTAATCATTGACCAAAATTCACTTTGCTAGATTACTAAATTCTTCCATTACTGAATTTAAATAATACTGTTTTAACTGTGTTTTGAAATACAATTTAGTTGTTTGTACCTTTTGTAATGTTAAAAGATAATTTTCAAAAAAAGGTAAAGCCGTCATTCTATACAGATATAAAAATGAACTTGTTAAAGATTGTATTTAATTTATTAGTGAGGAAGTTTGGTGAGGTGTTATGAACAGTTCAGAGGAGACTCCAAAGTACAGACACATTTATAGATCAGGAATATTGAAATGCAAGGGCAAATGAAAGGTAAAACTGACCTCTTTCCACAGTGAGGGGAAGGAAATCAGTTGAACCTCCATTTGACAGAATTCATTTGCATGTCTATACAGAAGAATTATTTGCATTGTTGCTATGCACAGTTTACAGAGTTGTGAAATTGCAGCTGCTGTAGAATTAGAATTAGATGACCTTGAAGAGTGCGTTCTAATCTAGAGTCTAGTTTGCCACTGAATTACACGTTTTCCCTTTAGGAAAAAAGATGATTAACTTGAACAAAATATATTTTTTGCCTTTGAGATTTGAGATAAGATTAGTTGGATTTTGTTTTAATCCCATTCTTTAACCAGAAAATCAAAGGATTTGAAAGCTGAAGGGACCCTTCATAATTTAGTTCTATCTAATTTCACAGATGGAGTGTTAAGACCCCAGGGTGGGGAGTGAGGGGAACTCCCCTGACTTAGTAACTATGTGTCCTGTCCTTGTTTCTCTTGCATGTTGTCCCCCAAGGGCCACTTGCTTGATGGTTTTATTGTAAGTTCTTGGAACAGCGGTTAGGAGTTTGAATCCACCAGCTGCTCCTTGGAAACCCTGTGGGGCAGTTCTACTCTGTCTTACAGGGTCTCTACGAGTCAGAATCGATTCGATGGCAACAGGTTTGGTTTTCCGGTTTTGGAGGGCAGAGACTAGGTTTGGAAGGCTCTTTACGGATTTCATTGTTTCATCAACAGCTTTGCTGGGCTGTGATGGCTCCTTCTGTCTAACCAGAGCTGGTTGCGAATGCGGACTGGTGGTGAGAGGTCACACCTGAAGGAGGTTAAGGTGTGGGCTTCGGTGTCAGACCTGGGTTTGAACTTGACTCTCCTACTTATGTGGCTGTGTGACCTTGGCCTTATGAATTGTATTGCTGGTGATAATTTATCTAGAATGGGCCCTTCACCCCATACCTCCCAAATGGATTAAACTCCACCAGATGGGCACATTTCTTGAAGTCATTTGGTGTCCTTGAAGTGGCTCACTGCCCTAGTGTGGCCCTGTAGACTGAGCAGGAATGCTGGACCAAGAGGCAACAGCAGGGGGTTATAATTTTGGAGATAAGTGGAATTGTAAAGCATTGACTTGACTTTGTGGTCCAGGTGCTCCTTTGATGGACTCTTGCTCTAAAAGAAGAGCTCTTTATATAGAGAGCCCACTGGTGCCTTAAAATAGTAGCTGGTGAAGAGTACTGTGGGTGTCCTGCTGCTAGAGGTGCTTGGGCCCCAGGGTGGGGGATGTAGTGCTTGTGGTCTTGGGTCTCCCAGACTTTCACATAAATGGCACTTTTTTTGTGACAGACGAGGTGGAGTAGCGGAAAGAAGAAGCGCATGCTTTACGGTGTGACCTGTGTGCCAGTCTCAGCAGTGCCACTTACCAGCAAGTTTCTCTGCTTTCTGAGCCTCAGTTTCCTCAGCTGTCTAAAGGGAATAAATTAAAGATACTTGCTCACCGGGCTGTTGTGAGGATGGTGTAAAGTACGTCATGCATTGCCTGGCACATAATAGATAGAAGTATCCCATTCTCCTGCCCTGTGCATCCTGTAAACACTTAACACTCTTGGGAAGACTTTCTTTTTTATCTCCCCTGACCAGAGCAGCAACTATCTCTGGTTTTCTCCCCACAAATGGTTAGCACAATAAACACATGTAACCCGTCAGTAAGTTTTGGAGATCATTCTGCTCTTGGACATGAAGAGCTGCCTTACTCTTTTTTTTTTTAAGTGGCACCCGAGTGGCACAGTGGTTAAGAACTTGACTGCTAACCCAAAAGGTTGGGAGTTTGAATCCACCAGCTGCTCCTTGGAAACCCTGTGGGGCAGTTCTCCTCTGTCCTCTAGGGTCACTATGAGTTGGCATGGATTCGATGGCAACTGGTTTTTTGGTACTCTTTAAAGTCTTCACCAAAAAAACAGAAACCAAACCTGTTGCCGTGGAGTCAATTCCGACTCACAGTTTAACTAGATAGTTGTCTGCGGATGGCTATTTATGTCGTTTCCACTGTTTTTGCTGTTACAAACAAGATGGCTCCCTCTCCTCCTTAAAGTCTTCCCCTTTTTAAAATTGTACCTCCCACTGCTGCCCCGGGGCTCCCTTTCCCCCTCCCTGCCTTATTTTTCTTCCTAGCACGCAGCGCCATCTGAGAGCCTGTGTATTCATTTGGTCTGTATCTTCCCACTGTGAGGTGAGCTGAGGAAAGGGCGATGTCTGTTTGGTTCACTCTTCAGTGCCTATGACATCTAGTGGGTGCTCAGTCTAGGTTGGTTGGATGGGTGGATGGATGGTGTTGTGGATTGAATTGTGTCCCCCCAAAATATGTGTTGTAAACCTAACCTCTATGCCTGTGGCGATAATCCCGTTTAGGATTGGGTTGTCTTTGTTACGTTTAATGAGACAGGATTAGTGTAGGGTGTGTTTTGAGTCAATCTCTTGAGAGATAAAAGAGATTAAACAAGTAAGCAAGAGAAGCAGAGATAGGGTAAGACAGATCCAAGACACATGGAGATGTTCAAGGAACCAGGAAGCAGAAGCTGAAGAGACAAGGACCTTCCTCCAGAGCTGAAAGAGAGGGAAAGCTTTCCCCTGGAGCTGGCACTCTGAATTTGGACTTCTAGCCTAACCGTGATAAAATAAATTTCTATTTGTTAAAGCCATCCACTTGTATTTCTGTTATAGCAGCACTAGATGACTAAGACAGATGGGGAAGTGGATGTTGGGACCGGGCAGCTCTGAAGGCAAGCAAAGGAGAAGGTAGAGGGTGTTGTCTGTGTGACGGGGACCATGGAGAGCCACGGGCAGAAGTAGCAGCATCACCAAGAGCTAGTTTATCAAGGATCGTTTACTTTTTCTTCGTCCATTTTTCCGTTCGATAAAATAATAATAACAGGGTTGCTGCAAGATGAGTCATGCCTTTGTTTTGGTGCTCTGACTTTGTCGAATGATGCTGGCCAGGAAATGGCCGTTGGAGGCCAGCTGCATTCAGAAGGGTTCATTGTTGTGGGTAATTGAATGATTATATTACTTCTCATTTTCACCCCAGGCCCCAATATCTTTCCCCAAATAGTGTCAGGATGTGTGTCTTTTAAGTGGCATTGTCTATTCAGTGACATACTGTGAAGGTTTTTTGACTTAGTGTTACGTTCAAGGAGCCACAATTCTGTGTTTATAAGAAAGATAAGATAGAGAGGAACCATAGCCAAATGTTAAGCGTGAAGATATCATTTGTGTGTTGATACGGCCCTTTTCCTCACTGAGGAGTAACTTACCAGTGTATTAGTACAAGAATGAAAGATACCTTTGAATTTGTAGAAATAACCCAGTGGTGCTGTTTCGGGCCTGCTGCCGTGTTTGCTAATTTAGACAGTTAAGCTGGTGTGGCCATTTTGCTGTCACAGTCAAGTCAGTCATCTGATATTAGTATTTCCTTTATTCTTTTTTACCTAAATATGAGGGAAAAAAGTCACATGCTGGTGACCCCAGAGGAGTGAGCCTCTTCAGGACTAAGTCACATGAACCAAACTCAAAGAGACTGATGTACAGACAAGGGAGCCTGTTTAACGATTGTTGATGAACAATTATAGAAACTGGACACGCTTCCTGTCATGTGGCCTGGGGACACATTCTTGGTCCCTAAGGCTCATAAACCCACTGTCATCCAGTTGATTCCCACTAATGGCTCCCTAGGGTAGAGGTCAGCAAAGCACAACCCAGGAGCCAAACATACCACCAGTTTTTGTAAATAAAGTTTCATTGAACATGGCCATGTTCATTCATTTACGTGTTGTCTGTGGCCGCTTTTGCTAGTATAACACTGAGTTGAACAGTTGTGGCCAATTGTATGGCCTGCAAAGCTGAATACATTTACTGCCTGGCCCTTTAAAGAAAAAATTTGCCAGCCCCTATCCTCTGGGAAGGTTTCCCAAGGAGATTTAATTACAGCCAAGAGGCTGCTGGATGAGCTCAGAATCTGGTAAGACCTGTCGCTTGAACCATCTCAGTACTGGGTCACTGTCACAGCTCCCCGTGGGGAGGTGGATGGTATTGTGCCTTGGCTCTCTTGCCCAACCTCACTGTTGCTTCTTCGTGTTTCTGTAATTGTGTCTTTTACTGAGTAACTTTCAGCCCCAGGATGAGGCCCGGTTCAGGCCGAGTGGACTTGGGAAGAGAGTTCTTAGGTGAAATGTACAGAGCATCAGATTCTAGGAGTGAGGGCCTCAGCAGTCCACCGACCTCATCTGTCCACTGGCCTCTTCTGCTCACTGACCTCATCTCTTGTGGACCATATTTTAAAAAATAGCCTGACTGTCCCAGGATCACCATAAAAACAAATCTAGGGACACCTTAGTGTAGTCACCCATCTCTGGACCTCTTGGTGGTGCTAAAGAAACCTGAATTGAGCACCAACTCAGACGTACAGCTTGAGTTGAGTTCTTGATAGGAAACACCTGGCAGGTATAGAGCAGTACAATTTCTTGAGAAGGATGCTGGGCTTCAGGGCAGAGGTGGACCAGAGCTCACCAGAGTTAGTGAGGGGCCTGCGAAGTCAAAGTGTGGTCCAGCATCTGCTTCACCCAGGACCGGGTTAGAAATGTAGCACCTCAGGCCCCACCCCAGACTTACTCCCTCAAAATCTGCATTCTTTTAGTTCTTCAGACTTTACAAGAGACTCAGGGCTTCTTGTGTTTTACTGATAGGGGAGGATCCATCATGTTGAATTTTAGCACAGTGTCAGGCACAGAATGTTAATGGTTTCTCAGGCTTGTTGGGGTTAGCTGACATTGAGTTGGCTGTCAGCTTATGGTGACCGCATGCACAATGAATTGGACGGCTGTGATCATTAGGGTTTTCGTTGGCTAATATTCAGAAATAGATCATTCTTAGGCGTAGAGGTGGTTCATCCCTTAGCTGGCTGCGTGCTCTGTGAGGGCAGTGAGATCCCTGTTCCTATTGAATTCCTAGTGCCTAGCACCTTGTCTGGAGCCCTGGTGGTGCAGTGTTTAAGAGCTGTGGCTGCTAACCAAAAAGTCGGCAGTTCGAATCCACCAGCTGCTCCTTGGAAACCCTATGGAGCAGTTCTGCTCTGTCCTGTAGGGTTGCTATGAGTTGGAATCGACCTGACGGCAACAGGGTGGCTCCTTGTCTGGCAGAGTAGGTATTCAGTAGACTCTGGCTGAGTGGGTGAGTGAATAAGCAAAGCAGTGAATGAGCACGGTTCAGCCCTGTTTGCTGAGTGGCACTGGAGACAGAGCTGGGCCCTGCAGACTGTTCCCGCTGAGTCCTACATCTCAGCAGAACAGTTTTCTTTGTTTTTGTTTTTCCTCTTATCACAGAGTTACAGGCCTGGCTCTGTGACAGGAAGGCTGTTTTTTCTTTTTTTAAAATAACATATTAAGAACATGGGATAGGGCCTGGTCTGAGTACCACTGTGGTGCCCAGGACTCGGCCTCATTCCTGCCTTATTGTGCTTTAAAAATTATTTAATGTTTGGCATTGCAATATAAAATTGTGTGTTTACTTGTTAAAAATAGTCTTGAGATGCAGAACCCTGTAGCAGAAAGAATGGTGGGCCAGGAATTCAGAAGGCATGGCTTCTGGTCTCAGCCAAAGCTGATTGACTGTGGATATTGGGCAGCTCATTTGCTTTCTTGCTTCAGCCTCACCTTCTGTAAAACCTGTTGCCGTTGAGTTGATTCCGACTCAGCAAACTTATAGGACAGAGTAGAACTGCCCCATAAGGTTTCCAAGGAGTCGCTGGTGGATTCGAACTGCCGACCTTTTGAGTAGCAGCCGAGTTCTTAACTACTGAGCCACCAGGGTTCCCATCTCCTGTAAGATAGGGATTAAAATGCTTGCCCTGCACGGACTGCATGTAATGCACTGTGTTACACAAAGACACTAGTTCAGAGTTGCTGCTGTTTGACTACAGCTTATCCAGATAACTCACCCATAAACTTATAAATTACCCATCAGTGTCTATATTGAACATGTCTTGAATTTTCACCAACTTTATTGTATAAGTAATATATATTGATTATTTTAAAGAGAGACAAATATCATTGTTCAGGAAGTAGTGAATTTTTGTTTATGGTGATGGGAAATTTGGCAACTCTTATGGGTGATGTTTGTCCAGCATTGATATATCACTATGTTGAATTGGCAAATGTTGTTTTATATATATATGTAATAGGTATATAATTATCACAGTAAAAAAGGAGAAAAAAGACAAGTATGAGGAAGAAAATCACCCTTAATCCTGCCTACCGTCCAATAATAACTACTCTTAAGTTGTACTTGCCTGCCACATTTTTCTGTGCATATATTACCTGTATATTTTTCTTAACATGGGTTTATATTATGTGGTAAACATTTTTCCAACGCAGTGAATTTTGTTGATGAATTTTGCACGTTGTGTTCCAAGTTGTGATGTAAACTTTGGAAGGTGCCCAGAGAGCTTGCTGGGTATTCTTTGGCTCATACTTGCATAGCTTCACTTTGTAGTGAAGATAGGGAGATATAGGCAGCCCCTGCTCCACATGGGGAAATGGACCGCTGAGCTGGAGATCAAATTCTGCTCTGTCATCATTTCCATCCTCAGCACGTTCTGTCCGATGACTAAATGGGCTTACCTTTTTGACCCATTGACTGTGATGTTTTCTTAAGTGTCGATGGTGTTCTTGTGCTCTTGTCATTGTGTTCTGACTTGACTCTGCTTTTTTCTTCTCAGGTTCCTGCAGTCAAACTTCAAGGGACAGGATGATTTGGAGAGCAGCCCTGTTGCTCGGCTTGGCCCTGGGGACTGGCGCTTTTCTGCTGGATGATCCGGAGGACGGCGGCAAGCACTGGGTGGTGATCACCGCCGGTTCAAATGGCTGGTACAACTATAGGCACCAGGTAAAAAAATGATGCATCTTTTGCTTTATGTCACTGGCATGATGTGAACAATCTTGGACATTGTCACTAGAAAAGACTTTTTTTGAAAAAGCCGTTCCTCACATCCGCTAGGCTGGACAAAACATAAGTGTTGGTGAGGATGTGGAGAAGTTGGAACCCTCAGATGTTGCTGGTGGGATTGTAAAATGGTATAGCCACTTTGGACAGCAGTTTGGCAGTTCCTCAAAAGATTAAACATAGAGGGAAAATGCAGAACAGAAGTTTAAATTCTCATGGACTTGAGACTTTCTGGAGCCATGGAGGGTGGATGAACCCATGAAACTATTGCCCTAAGATAATCTTTAAACTTTAAACCAAAAATATCCCGTGAAGTCTTCTTAAAACCAAACAATAGGTTATCCTAACTAGTAAGGACTGTCTGCCCTGAGCCTTCTGCTTTTTTAAGATCTATCTATGTGGGATCAGATTGACAACAGCAACTCAGAAGAATGGATAGGAACCTTAGAGGGCAGTGAATTTATGTTAATGGAGGAGGGACAACTTGGAAAAGGAGGGTAAGAATGTTAGCACAATGTCACTGAATTGTATGTGTAGAAACTGTTGAATTGGTGTTTGTTTTGCTGTGTATATTCTCAGCAACAACAACAAAATGAAATAAATTATTTAAAAGAGAAAAAAAAGTTAAACAGAGTTAACCATATGACTCAGCAATTTCACTCCTAGGTATACCCAAGAGAATTAAGAACA